TAAGCAATTTTCTCAAAGGAAACAAAAGGAAATATTTTTTATGGTTCTATCAGTCATAACCACAGAACAGATGAAAAACAACATAGAAAGACATAGCCCTACATATCTTCCAGCTAAAATTAATTTTAACCACTTTATGCTCTTGTTTTCTCTGTAGTGAGAAATACTTTAAACACTTTAGGAACCTTAACAACTCTAACAGTAAAGTCCTTTGTGAGTGAAAATCATTAAGCACTTGATTATTTGCCAAAAGATTGGTGTTTATGAACCTTCCCAGATGTGCCACGGAAGAAAAGCATGATTAGCTACTTCCAAAAGATCAGAGCCTTGCAAATTCTACAGAATGCAGAGCAACTGCACACATGAAGTCCCCAGGAGCTGATACCAACTCATCGGCAACTGGTTACATTTTGTTTTTAAAAGCCACACAAATAGAGTTTTATTTATCCAATGGTTAAGCTCTAAGCTTCCACCCCACCCCACAGCTCAGTGAAAGAACAGACCTGTCAGTGTGCTTCCAAAAAATGGTACAGACCTCAGTAGAAAACAGTATGGAACTTCTTCAAAAAGTGGGAACCAGAAATACCACGTAACACTGTGTCTGTAACAAAAGGCTCAAAGGTAATGCTTGTGAGGATGATAAAGAATCAGGGAAATTTCTATTCCATTGTACATAGAGTTATTATAAGTCAGAACTAAGCAGCCAGCACCTAATTAGAATATGTCATTTAGTTATTTTGTAATTTAATGGAAAATATTTTTTTCTTATTCAATACATCTATGGAGGGGTTTGTGATATCTGATAAGTTCTGAGAAGGTAATTATTCCCCTTCTACAAAATGAGCGCATCACTTGTGTGTGCATGTGTGTGCTCTCTCTCATTAGCTGCATATTATTGGTAATAGTGAGAGTTTATGCCTGTTGCTTCTTGAAGGAACCTAACTCAAGCATTCATTTTTCTCACATAAGAGTGACAAGAATAGATTAAAGGAAACTTTTAGACTTTAAAAAATGTTTCACGATTGCTTCTTCCTGACCTGAAGACATTGATCTATGACTCTTTGATGATAGAAATTTCCTGTTCTCTCTGTCCATGAACTGGATCCTTTTCTATGTGAAAATATGAGTAGTGAAAACTAGCCTCCATACCTTTGACATCTTATTTGATATTAGCAAGGGGCCAAACTTTGGATACTTTTTCTTTAAACTTTCAATTGTCTACCTTTTCAGAAGTATACACTATAAAATCTTATACACTTATTTCTCTTATTTTCTCCATAATCTTTGTTTGATAAGAATGAAAATATGTTGTACATCCATTTTACTGTTATAAGCATAAGAGGGAAGACGATTGTTAACGTTCTTTTATGAAATTGTGTTGTGAATAAAATTATGGTTAGTATTATGTTTT